TATCAAATTTCATTTAAATACTTCCATAAATAAAAAAGTTGGCACTACGCATGCGCAAAACCAAATGTTGTAACTGGCGTTTGATTTTCCTTTCCATGTGCCTATGTATCAAATTACATTTAAATACTTTAATAAATAAACAAGTTTGCAATTCGGTTTATAAATGGTCGAGATTAAAAGGGCACCTGTGAATTTTAAATCCATTCGACTCAACTTTTGGCATTGCGTATTATATAGTATTCAGTTCATAACTAACGGAGATGTCTAAGCGATCGGACATTTCTCAACAAAGTTATCGTTCACACGGATAGATAAACGGACAGACAGACAAAGGAACCGACGAACAGACTAACAGACAGACAGCAATACAAAATTATAAACGATCTCTAGGATCGTTAATAAACGGCAAAAGTGTAAAATTATGGAACATGCAAAAAACGTTTTTTTGTTTTTTTTACAATAACTTTTTTAGCAATAAACGCAGAAAAAAATTCGTTCCTTGATGTTGCAGCCTCGACACCATAACGAACCAAATAGCGAAAAAAGTAGAACAATAGCTCCTAAGATAAAGAACTAGGAGCGTCTCAGCGAACGAGCGGACGGACGGACGGACAAAGTGGCCACAATAGCGCATTTTTAGCGCATTTTTGAAAAAAATACGCTATTATATTCGTCATTGCTGGCAGGCCGGCTGTCCGCGTTAGATCTCCACAACTACAATAGCTAGAGACATCAAATTTTCACTAAAAGCTTTCTGCTATAGTGTAGATGTGCAGGCACTACTCTATTTTGAGTTACATTACTTGTGAAATCGATAATTGAAGAAAATAATTTCGATATGGGTTTCGGAAGTGCTATAATTTTACCGTTAGATAGCGCTACCAGTATAAAAACTTATTATTTACTTTGTGATTTGTTTTACAAAATGAAGACGTACCGTCAATTGAAATTAAATAAAATTAATTATTTAGCGCAGCCAAAATTACTCGGGAGATCGATAATTTTAAACTTCGCTAATAAAATACTCACCTGCATTACCAAAAATGCGCTTTAATCATGCATATGCTGATTTACAACTTGTTTTTATTTTTGTGGAAATGCGCTAAAAAGAGGATGAGTTTGAATACTACAATAATAGTAACCTATTTAAAACTGTGCACTAAATCATCAGTATTATAAATTGGTAACAAATGTGTAAGTTTCAAAACTGGCTTCTAATAAATTTAGCGCAGCATTAACATTTTTTTTTAATCGACCACCAAACAGCATTACGGCGATACCGTCGCCTTAACCTAATCAGCCTTGTTTATATCTTTTTCTTCGTACGTAAAGGTCAATCCGCTTCCTAAGACTGGAAACAAGGCTTCGTTGTGTCGCACATGGCGTTGTTAGTAAATAAAGCCAATTAATTTGTCCGATAACCCTTTTACAAAACATCTGACTATTCGACATTACGATTTACATTCCCTTATTTCTGTGTTCTAAAATGTATGATACTCGACGAATAAACTTACATGACTTAAACAATTACTAAATTTACAATTAAAAACAAAAACTAACATTACAATGACAATTTAACAAATTTTCCAATTCTGGGTCTTTATGAACAAAATTTACCCAGGTCCTATTAAATAAATTGAAACATTTTACATACGGGATGTAAACTGGAAATTACGTTTAGAACACGTAAATTTTCACTACAGGGTGGCTCACTTGCAATTTACACAACAATAGCCGTTTTTTTAATTGTATTTTTGAAGTTGGTGCTTCTGTGGTGAAAAAATATGTTTGCCCAATAAAACAAGTTTAACCAAGTGCCTAATACGCGTTCCCTTCAAGAAAATGTAGACGCTAAAAATTTAACTAACGTACCAGGGGTTTTCGTCCCTTGAATGTGGTTTCATTTAAAAGCCATGAGCAATAGCGAGATCCTTCAAATAATTTTTGTATTGTTATTATTAATTTAAGTATATAGGTACCTCATATTAATCCTTAAAATGAAAAGTAAAAATCATCAAAAACGGTTTATGTACCTATCCACCATCATTATGTCCAGATAAAAGCATCATCTAATTGAAGAAGAGATTTTTGATAAAAGAGCTTTCGCATACCTAACTAAGAAAAGAATAGCATTTTTTTTCAACGCAAACTAGGAAAATTTTGTAATTAAGTAACACAACCATTTTCCTTAATTTGAGTTTTTATCTTAAATTTGATTATGTAATATAATACGTTTTTTGGGCTGCTATATCCAAAAAAGGGTACTTTTAAGAATATGTACCTAATGTAAACTAACGATTGTCAAAAATAAGCCCCCACCATGTGGAAGTAGGCCACTGACCATAAAAAGGTTCTTTAAAAAAAACGTAGTTCTGAAGATATATAACCAGTGTTCCAGACAAAATATATACAGTAGGTATGTTCCGAGATGAGGTTCATAAAAAGTCCTGTTTTTTTCCAAAACTCTAAATTTTATATGTTTATAGTGAACTGACGTATATAATATCTACCTTATAGGAGCTCCTCCTTCTCCAATTGAGATAATGAAATTCATTGCCAAAATTAGTTGACCATTCCTAGCTGTTTGATGAATTGCTCCTATCAGGTAGTAAACAGATCAACATAAAGTTCAATGTCACGGAAAATTCATAAACTAAATAATGTAAATGTCGGTCATGTTTAAATTTACTCTATGGTGTTGATCAATACTTTTCAGTCAGACTTAAAGTAGGTTCTTGGTATTTCATCGCTAGTTCTTACGATTAACACATTTTTACCTTCTTGCGTTAATAACTGTCGCAAGTGATCGAGCTGTCATGCTTTTTTTTGTTGACGGTTTTATATATTATTGTCAAAGCGATTAAATATACTACGAAATACTTATCGTCAGATTAAGTGAGTATAACTCAAATCCGCGCCAAATGTAACAATTATGTTAATAGACATTCTTCTTTCATCGCTTTCGTCTCGAAATTTATTAACAACTTGTTGAACGTAGATGTTCTGTCGAAGTACTTTTGCACTTTTCAGTCATGCAATGCATGTATTCCATGCACATTTAATCTATATTACTTATTAATAGTAGTTCCTCCTCAAATCGGCCTCACTAAAAAATTAATTAGTATTGGCATAATGAATGCGAATGTTGTCTGTGAAAATTCTCCCAAAAAAACCATTTCCATGATTTGCGTAGTAATCACTAAATTAACAAATTATTTTTTTTGACATAGGTCCTAACAGCTTTAGTTTCCATTTTCAGCTAGACCATCTCACATCTTAGCTTTCTTGTATTTTAAGCATTCCTTTTAAAAACAATTACCAAAGGTTTATTAATTATTTCCTTGTTTGCCTGTTCTGTTCCTACACATGTGAAATCATTCCCCCATTCTTCAACAAAATGGTCTTGTAAGTTCTATATAAAGTAGTCATTTTTTCATTTTGATATCCTAATCCTAATTATGGCATTTATTTACAATAATGCCCATCCAAATGTGCGGGCTGTTAGATGCAAATCATCCCATACTGGTAGAACAGTAAGTTCTGCCAGGACAGCAAGTTCTCACTTTTACACGTAGTTTTGACTTGCCATATTCAAGATTATTACTTCCTAAATTCTAAATATTTTTGTAGAGGACTAAGGTTCCGGAGTCTTAAGTATTATAATGGCACTTTTGGGACAAAACTGGAAATGCAAACAAATGATTCACTTGTGTGGAGTTTTCGCAGTGAATATTCGCCACACCATATTTAATACAGACCCCGTATGATTTCGTCCTTACACTCACAGAAAGTATCCACGGCCGATTATATTAAGGAATGTGCCGTTATTTTCGTGCCCAATAATAATTAAATGATTCATATTTCGAATCTCTATGGTGCTCGCCATGCATAGAGACGACTTTGGAAAACTTGCAGTTGAATTGTTTCACTACACTTTCTTTTTTTAACTGAACGATATACGACAATGCACTACAAAGATCGAACCTTTACTGTCCTTTGTTGTGTTTGTTCTTCTCGCTGTTAAATGTAAAGTCACTAAGTTAGTATACTTATTTTAATATCTGTAGGGTAACATTTAGAGCCGTCCCGAGTCCGCAGCCCGTGACGCCGCCTGCTAGTTCTGTTCTCATTGCAGAGCTCGCGATGGCGGCCTGCAGCTGCGGCGGCGTCTTCTGGAAGTAGGGGCAAGGTAACGAGGAGATAGCTAGCTCCCTGCCCCAGCCCGGACCCGGTCAAGTAAGACCACGTCCTGTCCTTGTTGTGGCGATGTGACAGTGTCGTGCGTATTAGACTATGTAGTGCGTTGTTCCTGTGCAGCCATGATCAGCTCGTTCGTTCGATGTATGTCTAGACGTTGTGTACCTCTGAATGTATAGTGCGTTTACATGTCTAATCGTACAGCTATTTCTAGAAACCTGCACAGGCTTGCTTGTATTTACACCTGGGGGTTTTGGAAGTACCTGTACTGGCCTCCAGTACGATAGGTGAAGGAGGTCGGTAAGTATCGTCAATGTACTGCCGTGTGTGTACAACGCAACTACCAGAGCACTGTCATGTACCCCACCACCACGCTGTTGAACACATGTTCCCATCGTAACGAGCTGTAAATTATTTCTCCACAATCTAGAAACGTATATTAATAACGGACTTTCTCCTACCTTTCGCTAGACACTCTACTAATCAATATTGCGCACACAAATTTTCTTCTAATATATTGTCCATAATCACTTCGGGGAACGGTGAACGATGGTCGCATCTGCCGATAACGACGCGTGGTGGCGGGGGCCGCACAGGCTCCCTTTGGATCATCCTTTCATTACAACCCGTCTCTGATTTAGAAAGCGACTTTGATCCAATTATACCTCACCAGTTTTCCCTAAATTCCTTCCCTAGATAACCCCGCAATAAATAGCTCCGTTTACATCGATCGCTAGCTCCTATGCTCGTACCTTCAGTGTCAATATTAGCGGACGATTATATGGAATTGCACCTGCGTTAGTAATGTTTATGTGTATGATGAATGTTAGACAGTTGACTAACGGTTTTGTTTTGCGACCGCAGACCGAAAGCTGTTCGTGGGCATGCTCAGCAAGCAACAGACTGAAGAGGATGTCAGACAGTTGTTCGCGCCCTTTGGAACTATAGAAGAGTGCACCATTCTCAGAGGACCTGACGGAGCAAGTAAAGGTAATATTATGTTTTACACATATTTTTATACACCAATGGCATTACCACCAAAGAACGCTTTTGTTCCGTATCTTGTTTGAAATGCAATTCGCAGATACACACACTTTTACCTATACATTAATTGTAAAATAGTACCCTAATTCAGTGGAAAACATCACCGTAAAATTACATTATAGAGACATTTATTCCACACCTATTTGGATTTACCTGTTGATGTGCATCTTTTCGCGTTTTAAATTACATAGACGTGCTGTCTGAACCATTCAAAATTACAACTCTACCTGGAGAAAGCAACACGTGTATCGGATCAGAATTCGCACTTGGGATTACGCTTTAAAACGTATCGTAAGTCGGTCATTAGTCGGTGTCACCGTTCTCTATTAGACACACTAAACAATTTGGTTAACACTTTCCACTAACGCATTACGCTAACCATTTCAATTCAATAGCAAATCACTGGAGAGCATAGACGGTGCTTGAAGGCTAAACTGAACGTGTAGGTGCACTCTCAATGCGGTCAGTTCCCGTGTCACTGGGAATTCAACTTCATTGCTGAAACAGGAACTGTATATAGTGTTTGTCAGTTAAATGTAAATAGTATTAGTACGAGTAGCTTAAACCTATAACTAATGAAGTGCTCCAGTTTGTTTCTTAATCCTATTAATTGTTGTTTCAATTTATTCCCGCATGCGGAAAGAAATAATAATCGCGAAGTATAATGTCGAATGTGGAAACATTAGGGAGTTTATTGGACCTGCTGGCAATAGAAGTTCATCAAAGCTAAAATGAGTAACAAGTTGAAATAAAAGGCTAGTTGCAAACATATTGTATGAAAAGCTTGAGTGACCGCATAAGATATCTTTTAATTTTCTTTTACAAACTTTTAATAACCAAGTGAGTTCATCACATTTGCACTCATTAATTTTAATGTTCCGGACCACAGAACTAGATGTAAATCCATATTATTTAAGATACCTCAATCCAAATCCATTTTATTAAATCACACAGCACCGATTACACGCATGATGACAACCTTTAATACTCATCAATTATTATTTATTCATAATTCATATTAGGGATGTAACGGAGCTTCGGTTCCGATTCCGAAAGAGCGGAACTTCCGATTGATTTTGCACTTTCTATTCCGATTTCGGTTCCGACAAATTTTAATCGGATGTTTATGGACAGTGTCGGGGCGACCACAATCAGCGCGTTCGCGTACAAATACGTTTATACTTGTCGCGAAGGGACCTACCTCGCCTCGTGCCTTCTGTTGATTACCTTTTCACAAGTTGTGTTCCTTGAGTATAATTTGCTTCTTTTCGAGTCATTTAATTTGTTCTATTTACATATTAATATTGTAATTTAAGATGTGACATGTCTCTTCTTTCCGACTCCGATTCCGCTTCCGAATTCGATATAACCACTTCCGTTACATCCCTAATTCATATTATCGCGAAATATTTAAGAGTTATTTTAGTCCTCAAAACTGTCATTGGATACAATGTATCTGTTGTTTTGAGTATTTCAATAAATAAATACTTTCATACACATAAATTACTCAAAAACTCAAAAGGTTAAGATAATTGAGTCGAAACATTTCAAAGTGATGTGCGTACAAAGACATATGCAAACCTAAACTATTGACCAAACCAAATCAGCTATTGAGTTGTATATTTGCCAATTGATGTGTACTCCAACCAATAATTCTCAGTCGCAGTGCGTAATTTTGATGCCTCTATATGCATTTGGGACTTTACAATATGTCCGGTGAAATTATGAAAAGGAAAACAAGTTAAAAAAGGTAATTGTAAACGATTTAGAAAAAGCGCATTTCCACATTAACAGTATTTGCTCGAAAAAATAAGTTGCTCTAGCCAAATTCGTTTTCAACCATGTAACCAATAAAATCCGTCCACAAATAAGAAAGTTTAGCACTGCACATGCACAACCTATTCTTTGACACCCCATTTCAACTTGATTTTATACGAATCATCTTAGCGTGTAGATTTTATAAGCACAAAAATCTTCATGCATCCATTGATTGTACAACACGCCTCCTTATGGGGTTGATTCTGTCCCCTCAGATCAGTATACCTTGTAAAACAATTTTTTTGGTATTGCGATGGTAAGCGATCCGACGTTTCTGCCCAAATTTATCGTGCACACGGACAGACAGACAGACGGACAGAGAGACAAAAGACAAACAGACAACTGACAGTTAGGCAGACCACACAAAATTATATCTGGAGGATCGTTAAAACGGCAAATGTGTAAAATTATTGTACATGAAAATGATTTTTACTATAAGTTTTTTACTAAGAAACGAACCAAAAAGTGAAAAAAGTAGCACGATATCTCTTAAGATATAGATGCAGTAGCGACCGGACGGACGGACGAAGTGTTCACAATCGCGCATTTTTTTGTATTTTTATGGAAATGCGCTAAAAACCTACTGGGAACAAAAGAACGTAACATACTCGTATATGACGAGGATTAATGGTAGTAAAAATTTAGGGATAGCGCGTCAGGTTTAAAATTTGCAAGAGGTTGGTCAAACAAGTTCAGAATAAGATCAACATATCAACTTTTACATGCCATGAAGGATTTTTGCTCAATGGTATCATGCAAAAAATAGAATACCTCCGTTGCACACTACGATAATAATTTACTTACGTTTGAATTTGTTCTACCCGTGCCTACTGTAATTTCAACACCGTTTTAAAAAGAGTACTTGCACTCTATAACAACCTGCCTGGTTAAGAAAAACACTACTAATGATATTTATCCATTAGCATGAAGAAATTCTTAAACAAGTACCTGTAGCCTGTAGGTAATTCAATAATGTACTGTTACTAAGTACTCCTTTCTAAAATATGCTCAAATATTCTTCAATTCTTCATGTGCTGGTAATCTGTGTTTTATTACAGTACTAACTACTTCAAGCAGCGCTGCCAGATACGCCCTCCAAATGCAGTATGGTGCTTATGGACATACAGTACATGCTTGCCAAACGTGACAATGACAGCACAATGAGATTATGTTTATTGTAATAATTCAATTCAATCATATGTCAGTTTGGCATCATTGCGGATTGCGGTGAGGAACAAGGATAGCGTCATGAAAGAATTACGCAAATGAGTAAGAGGGGCACTTAGTCCATAAGACCCCATACTGCATCTGGAGGTGCGAACGCACTGTAGTACCATAATTCAGATACTTTGCAATAAAAGTGCGTTAAATATCCACCCGTTTTTTTTCATTATTTTCTAATTTAACACTATTCATGACTAAGGTAGTAAGAAAGAGAAAAATATAAGGTTTCTAATGGCGCGTCACATAACCTATGCCATTTAAAAAACCTCAAAATGGTGGCCGTACTCAAAAACCATGGGCCAAAAAAGTTTTTTAACCTCAAAATATGTGAAATAAATTCAAATGGAAGCGTTCGAATTTTCATGTATATATCTCAAACGATTTGAGCGCGAGAGTTTGTTTCTATGTTTAACAGACTCTGTATATCAATACTTAATTTCATAAATGAAAAACAGTCGTAACAAACAGACAAAACAGATAAAAAACTATAATTAAAAGTTTAACAACCTTTACAAATGGTTTAATGAGCTCCTAGCGAGTTCATAATTTTGCTGTATCTATCCGTCTGGCGTCTGTCCGTTGTCGGTCTGTCCGTCTGTCCATTAGCATATCTCGAAAACGAATAGACCGATTACGATGAAATTTTGGATTCATTATCAAATTTGTAGATCGGAGTTCGTGAATTGGTAATGTAGGCTAAAAAATAAGGAAAGCCCTTTTGACATTACCGTTAATTATGAACCTGATTGCATGTAATTCAAAATGAGCATAGCTTTAGCCGTATAATCCGCAATACCAAGGGACTCGTTTGCTATACTTGTTTAATTTATTTAATATTAGTATCTTGTGTTCACACCCCATTAAAAAGGTACTTTTAGTATGTACATACGTTTTTATCTGAATTATATACATTTGCATATAAAATACAGTCGTTGTTATAAAAGAGTAAATTCTTAAGGTTTTGCCATTGATACACTTGAATGTTATTATATCAAACATACCTAATTGTTCGCCGACCTTTTCACCAAAATTGTTGAAAAGAGAGGTAAATCATGTTAGTCACATGCACTAAAAATATCTATCAAGAAATGTCTCGAAGAAATCCAACTTTTAGTTGAGCACAAGAAATACTTCGACGGCCGTGTGAGAACCTTTTCGTAGTTCTGTTTGTTACCCCCGGGACAAGAAACATTCCAAATTTAAAAGTTCTAGACTCAGTGCCCCGTGCGTGTTCCCAGAATTCCCAGTCGCTTCGTTACTGACAATCTCGATATTTTAAAGTTCGAGTTACTTGAGCGACATTTTTCGTTATACTTGTACACGTAATTACATATTTGCCCATTCCCAGTACAATGTACTTGACACAGTATTTAAATTCCACCCGAGTCTTTCTTCTACTTTGTTCGATTCCCTTTTCTTCAAAATTTGTAAAACAATTATATAGGTAGCTCATGCGTTTCAATTTTAATTTTAAAAGTATGACAATAGGTCACCAACTGCCAATCACTATAAAGTTATATTTTTCTTCTTGTTTTTACACTCGATAGAGAGCTTTCTGCAACAGTGAACTTTAATGACGGGAAATAAATATAATTTGGGTATAATACAAAAAATGTTGCTTTGTTTATAAATGAATCCAAAATAGTTAACCATTAACATGAGAACATTGCACATGCATGAGCAACAACACCTTTATGATCAAACGCGAATAAAGTACCTATTGAATACCTTTATATTTATGTGTACATATGATGCTATAAACGCAAGCCCATTTTACATCGTAAAACGTGATTATAAGCGACGCATACCACCTTCTAAAAGGTACATAACCGGTATTCTATTCGTATTAAAATCATTTTTATTTAAAGATATGGGCCCATAGTAATGGGAAATTGAGCAACGGA